AATGTCAAATGTTATTCTAAGTCTCATATCAGGAATACTATCTTATGAGAAACCGAACGGAGGGAAGTGACCTTCAGTGATGCCGGTAATCATTTCAAGATACTGCTTTTCTTCTACAGTAAGGCGTACTGTTGCTAAATGAATCTGGAACGAAGGGTCATGCACTGCATACAAACACACATATAAACAACAATAGAGCGACGAAGACTTCACACAAAAACAAGTGATAGACTACATAGTTATGAGCTCATGTTGTTGGTTGTCTATCTGTTTCGTCATCAGTGCTGCTATCCATAACAGATAAACTGCAACCTGCGCGATGCAATTTCTTCCCTTCTGTGAGGCTTATTCCAACAACTTTAAACATCCTTAAGGCGGCTGGCTTCACAAATGGAAATGGCATGGGTGTACGACTTCTTCTCTCATTTTTTGGCAATAACAACAAAGTTGACAAAGCTTGCAAGCCACGACGAATGATATTCTTCTCTCTCTTCCTTTGCGTGTACATGTGTCGTTTTCCACAGTTCTTTTCGTCGCCCTGCATGATTGACAAAATAAAACATAATGAGTTACAAGTCCGACTTTCCGTTGTTGAATCTGACTCATGAATACCAATACAAAATATATGGCAATTGCAGTAAGTCTTCATACAAAACAATTGCAGTATTTCTCTTAAGAAAATTCACAGTTTCAAAGCTAGGTAAATAAACAATACATCTGAGGGATCGACACAATGGGAGATGAGTGCATGTGATGTACCCACTAATCCGCATATAGTATTAGATATTGATCCTAAGATTAAAAAATGCTCACCTCGATGACTAACTCTCAGTTTTTCTTCAACACGACCTTTTGTCACACCTTCCATATGCAATGACGCAATAGGAGATTCCTCGATAGCTATCATGAGGTTAGCAGACTGTGGTGTTTGAGGTTGTTCAAGCGTTTGTTGAGGTTGTACAAGTACAACTTGCTCCGGTGTACTTAGTACTATATGTCCTTCATCCTCTTCGATGCCCTGTACATGGAGAGTTTCTTCCTTCTTTACGCCCTCAAAAGTGTCATGGAAAGTGCCGCTTAATTCGGCTGGTATCGTCGACGACGGCATCTGCAATTCCGTGAGTGTTCCACTAATATCTACTTCCATCGCGACCCTGTCGCCCACTAGTATCGTAGTCGCCCAAACTTGGTCAGCTGTACTCACACACTCGCAACTCACACCGCCTTTTCGTCCCGAAGTTTTGGCACTCGCACCGGCAATCGATCCCCGTTGCTGTGTCGGGTTGGACTCAACCACGAGTTTCTCCGCTCGGTCAAGCTGGGAACGCTCCAATAGTGGACCCCTGTCGTGTTCGACTCGACCGTGTGACTCTTCGACAGGTGAAACAACGTCGATTGGTCCCGAAGCCTTGCCACTTGTACCGGCGATTGATCCCGATCCCACTGTCGGGTTCGACTTGACAGTGACTTTCTTCGCTTGATCAAGCCGCGAGCGCTCAAATGTTGGACGAGTGTCGTGTTCGACACGACCGTGTGACTCTTTGATAGGTGAAGCACCGCCGATAGTTGTACTGCCCCCCCGTGGTCCTGAAGCCTTGCCAGTCGCACCGGCGATCGTTTCCGATCTTACTGTCGGGTTCGACTCGACCGTGTGACTCTTCGCTTGGTCAAGCCGGGAACGCTCCAATGCGAGGCCACTGTCGTGTTCGACTCGACCGTGGGACCCTTCGACAGTTGAACCACCACTCGATCCTGATCCCTTGCGCTCTGTTTCTTGAGGCCCCTGAGACCCTTCGACAGTTGAACCGCCGCCGCCTGGTCCTGTAGGTTTGCCATGCCCACCGCCGCTTGGTGCTGATCCCTTGCCTTCTGTTGCTTGACGCCCCTTAGACTTTTCGGTTTGTTACCGTTCCCAAAGACTTGCGTCCTTGCCGCTTGCACCGTCATTCGGTTCCGTACCCTTGTCACTTGCAACGCTCCCCGATCGCAATCCTTTGCCATGCGCACCTCCGCTCGATCCGGATCCCTTGCCATGGTCACCACCGCCGCTTGATTTTTTCCTCTCCCCAAGATCTTATCTGACATGCCAATAATATCCATAAGACGGGCTGGTTTGTCTATCATAGAACTCTTCTAGATACTCAAGCCACTGCGATGTTTTGAACTCTTGGAAATTTTTTGTTGTTCTTACAACTAGTCTTGATTGAGACCTCCGGATTAAGTCGCAGGAGTCGCTTGGCAATCTGATTTTTGGCATGTTTCAGAAAGTTTGATCCTGACATACGTCTGCCACTCCCCTTCTTCTTTTATAGCCATAACCCACCTCTCTCTCGCCAATGAAGGTTGAAAGTGTTGGGGGTGCCATATGATGTGATGACCCCATGTGGCATCATCCGTCACTGTATAATCGTCTCGGCACACTATAGGCCCCGGAAGCAGTCGAATGTCTGCAGGGATTGTGTCTCAAATCTCGTACTCCAAATGCTCATCAGGTGGAGGTTGTTCTGGAGTTCGAGAGCATAGCAATTCCATAATAGTACTTGGGTTGTGTGCAAATGGTGCCAGAGTTGCCACCAACTCTGGGGAGAGCATTGCTAGAATAGTCGGATCCAGACTGCCTCCGGATGCCACCGTCATCGTATTACCCGCCATCTGAGTCGGTGTAACAATAGAAGAAGTCGGGGGCTGAGTCAGTAACTGATCCGTTGAAACCGTCATGCTCGAAGCTCCTCCAGAACCGGACGATGTGCCTGGAACACCCATTCTCTGCGAACCCGGGCTACAAACTCTTTGCCTCTCAGCTGCCAAAGCCGCTTTCAAAGTGCCATCAACACTCTCTTCTTCTGAGTCGTCGGCATCAAAGTCCTCACCATCCACAAAACAAGTCGCATAACCTGCGATTGTAAACGCCCCGATTTGTTGGTCGAAGTACATCGTCTCCAAGCGGTCGAGAAATGAAACCTCCCTCTCCGATGGTGCTTTATGATAACCCCTCAAGAGCTTCTCCAATTTTCTTCTTCTGAGGACATAAGTACGTTCCCCTCTGTCTTGCGGCTTTGTTTCGAAGAGAAACTCCCAAATATCGACCACGTTTTGGCCAACCTTGTAGACGAGATCACGCCCTTCATCATGTCGAGGAGGCGGCATAGTAAGCTGGCGTAGTAATCTCGAGTTTTTACCATCTTGTCAATGAACTGAGTGAGGAACTCGAACTTCATACCCTCCCCTTCCAGCACAATGCAATGACGGTGACTCTTTAACAACTCCCAAACCAATCCCGCATGACCTTTTCCAAGGAAAACGACAGTCTCATCCGCAGAACAAAAATGCTTCAATGTCTCCACCATCGCATTCGGCTCCCTTTCCATACCATCATAGACCACTTTCTCCGGTGGATCCATACCTGTTATTTTCCACTTTGATGGTAGAAAGTTATTCTCCACGACATCAGTCAACATCTTCGGCTCTTTCTCTCTCCGCACAAGTGCCGATATGCCAGCCACCCGCTCGGCAGATGATGAACCTGCAGCTTGAATATCTTCAAACAAGGGAATAGTGTTGCGATGAAAATCCTCGTCGTTGGAGTACATGATGACCACCATTCTGTCTGTGTCCTCCAAAGGCAAGTTTGCAACCTTATATGCCACTTTCCCCTTTGTTTGTTGTAGACGAGTCCATTTGAGAAGATCCAAGTGAATGTCCCACATCGCGACTCGCCTCAAGAATGTGAACTCGCAAGGACGTGGAACGAAGCACAACAATGTCCAATAATCGCCGCCAAGTTTGTCCATAAACTTCTTGAGTCCATCAAACACTTATTCAGTCCACGCACCCATCTGGGTCAGGCGGCACAAATCCAGGTCGGCTGTGTGGGACGTCTGGTGTCTGACGGCTCTAGACATCTCCTTGCAATCCATCTCGTCTGAAACATCGCTCGGTTCCCACCGGAACGGCACGAATACAGATGTCACTTCTTGTTTCTGGAAATATATATATATCGCTTGTCCCGATATACGAATGCTATGCGAACCCCCAGTTTTAAATCTACGCAACAACTTGTTGACAAATTGAATGAACTCTTCGGGGCATTTGTTTGCAAGCGATTTTGTTTTCTTGAAGCCCTCCTCTCCTTTCTCATCCTCGCCTCCAAGTGTAGCCGGAAATGACCGCACCCAACTCGTTTCTTTGAAATGTCGTCGCTGGTCGATCCACCTCTCCGATGTCAATCCTTAATCACAATACTTAGCGAACAAATCAGAAAGGTTGTAGAAGAATGGTTCCTTCCACTCTGACGGCTTCTTGTGAGGGTCAGAAATGAAGACGAAATAGTGAAACATTCTCAACATTGTTCTTTCCTACTTCACCATTTCCACGTATGTCTCCATCAAATGTTTCTCGGCAGTGTGAGCAGTTTTACTTAGCCTTGAAGCCAGTACGACACTTCCCGCGAGAATGTCTCGCAACAGTTGGAGCCTCTCACGCCTCCTCAACGTAGACATAGCCTTCCATGATCTGACATTCAGATCGCGCACAGCCACGAGGTAACCAGGTCCTCTAGTACCCTGAATCCAGTGCACTGGAATCCTGACTCCTTTTTCCTACTCGAATCCAAGGTCAGGTCTCGGCGCTTTCCCCGATTCACCATGTTTGGTAGCAGGTTTCACACCATCTCTCCCCGGCAACTGTCCACTCTCCCAAGTAGAATACATTTGTTGAACCTTCTCGAACACATCGTCCGTCGCCCTTGCCAATATCATGAAAGGCCCGAGGACGTCGGACCACTCTTTGCTCCAAGCCTGAAGTGAAAGAGTAACCAAATGATCGCTCCCGGTCACGCGCAGAGCCATCGCCGCAAACTCTGTGTAATCCTTATTTTTGACGTCTGCAACAGATCCGCCTATAACTTCTGGACGACCGACTGCTTGCCACAACTTTCGTATGTTCTTAATGATAGCAATCTGGTGCGGAGGAGTACTTCATTTGTCCTTCGCATTTTGGAAAGTGCTCAAGGTGCAGTAATTTTCCATGTTCCTATCCAGATAGTAAACAGACCTTGCAGTCCAGCAATCCAAACGTAGCTCACGGACGATGTCAGGGCGTTCTTGAGAACATTTCCTCGCCGCCGCAACATTGTGTTGACCACTGAGAGGGTACCAGTAGTACTTGCGCACGGATTGGAGATCGAATTCGCCGGGCGTCACTCTTCTCGCCCTCACATTCGTACCACAAAAGGACAGGCTTCTCGTACAATGCACATACATTCACCCCGGCTGCCCCGGTCGTTCTCTCTCTGATAGCTGCCTCACCCGACTCAACCATTGTTTTGTAAAGGTCATCAATAAGCTCCTGATCGAGGAAGCATTGATTATATCTGAATTCCTCATCAGGGATATCCAGAATCCTGTCCAACTTGATAGAAATGAACTGCATTTCCGACCTCAGTTTACCATTCTCGTCGAACTCCAGGAAGAAGTCTTTGCTCAGATGACCAGAAGAATTCCCAGGCGGCAGAATCTGCAAACCGGGCGGTCTGGTGACTGTCTTGCCCACAGCGTCTTCATCCGACTGTGGCTGGTCCGGTGGAAAAACGCAAGTTTTTTCCATCGCACCTCCCTTCGCTGCTTTTTTCCTTGGCTGCCGTTTTTTCTTCATGGCCTCCTCAGCCTCCCTCGTACGTTGGACGGCCTCCTCAACTGCCAGCATTTTCAACTTGCGTTTGCCCTCCTCTTGCTTGGCTCCCCCCTCCTGCTTGGTTTTCATCTTCCTTTTATTCTCAGCTAGTCGGACTACATTGGCATGCGCCGGCTCGACCCCAACTTCGCGGTGCATTTCCCCTCGCCCTGGATCCGCTTTCCAATGCCCATGACCCGGCGGGAGCAGCTGCGTTCGTTTGGAACCCTGATGCACATCTGCATACCCTCCCTCGCCGGTCGTTTCCTCTTCTTGCCCTTCGTCCTCATGCTCAACCCCTAGACGACCCTCCAACTCGCCCGGCCCACCCCTCTCGCTGATTGTGTGCTCACTCTCTACTCCCTCTTCTTCGCCACCCTCCTCATATTCTTCACGTTCTTCATTGCGCTCCCATTCTTCTGCGCTGTTCTCCTCGTCGTCATCTCCAAAATATTGTGGCCCGACAGGAATGGCCAACTCATAGCGCGGCGGGCGGACCAAGGAAATGGGTTCCTTGGTTGATGTTGGTCTACGCTTCACAGGGGCTGACGGCACGATTTGGCTGCGACACAGACCTTTCTCCCCGATCTGCCCAGATTTCGGAACTCATGTTGCAGCAACCGTAGTCCGAAGAGATGGCGGAGGGCGGGCACCTATAATGATCGGTTTCGACGACGGAGCCGCCTCCAAAGACGACGGAGCCGCCTCCAAAGACGACGAAAGCATGCTTTTCGGTTCAGATATGTGGTCGAAAGAATGCACCACCGGCTCATGCCCTGCGACCACATGTCTGTCGAAGAATGCGAAAACCGATCGAAGGTCCGACAACATCAATTTCTCCGTCCCGGGCGGATTGAAAATGTCATAAAGCCTCTTGCCGTACCCAGCGTGTTTGGCCCAACGAAGAGCAACGCGTTTGACACCCGCCACCCGCTCACCTCTAGCGTTAAGGACCATCGTTAACTCCAACATGGCCGACGACGATTTTTCTCCACTCCACTTAACCACACCGCCAATCGGAACAATGTTATTTTTTATCACCACGTACAAAACCAGCCCACCCGAGCGTTCCCCGATTCCACCCACCCAGTCCAACATCCAACACTTGTCTTGGTGGTCGGCGACAGGCACCTCGTCTCCCACACCTGCAACGGACGTGTCACCAGACCTTTTACGCCTGGGCACAACGTCCATCGCAGATTTCCCCTTCCGACCAGTAGCCTCCTCTTCTCGACCCACAGCCCCACCACTCATCAACACAGTCGAATCCGGTCCCGAACCTCGAACATGGGCGGAAGGAGTGCCCGTAGAAGGCGCACCCCGCAGCACCGGGGTTCGGTGGCCCTTAGACCCCGGTGTGTCGGCAGCCCCCACGCCAGCCGTCGATGTCCCCTTCGTTTTTTTCGGAGACTGCTCCATGCTCCCGGAACCAGCACTAGTACGTCGTTTGCTTAGCTTCCCCTCGCGATCCATGCCGAGCAGCTAGTCGCAACTGAAGAAAATGCACAAGCGAGAAAGCAGTCATTGCTTTACCAACATGCAAACACCACAACACTTGAGAACAAGAGTAGACAGGAACACAGAGCAACTGAAGCGGGCCGCAGCCCGCCAGCTCGTCGTCGTTCCATTGTCGTGTCGAACTCGACGGCCGTGCCACGACGTCCTCCAGTACCGTCGAATTCGACACGAGAGCGACATTGCGGTGTCGTCGTGGCACTGTCGCGTCGAACCCGACGGCACTGCGCGGGCTGACCAACCGTCGTGTTGGACACGACAGCTACACTGTTGTCTGCCATGCGACAGTCGACCAAGCGGCCCTTCATGCACCGTCTGCTCGCCAGATAACAATGTCCATGTCGTGTTCGACACGACGGTCGCCAAACGGTGCCTGTAGGGGAGTTGACCGTCGTGTTCGACACGACAGCGACACTGTCGTCCGCCATTCGACAGTCGACCAAGCGCCCCTTCGGGCACCGTCTGGCGACCATTGTGTCGAACACGACAGCGACACTGGGGTGTGCTGTGCGACATGTGTCGTGTTCAACACAATGGTCGACGGACGGTGCCTAAAGGGGCACTTGATCACGAGAACACAAGACAACAGATCGCGGGCACTGGTTAACATGGAGAAACATTGACTGTTGAATGTTTGTGCACGCAAAACATCAAAGGAAACACAACATGAGAACAACAATCAAACACTCGGCCGGCAGCGATGTGTTGGTGTCCAAAGCCAAACCAAAAACACGTGTCATCATTCCCGGGTTTCAACGAATCGAAAAACAATATGAGGACAACAACGTCAAACGTGTGTACTTTTGGCCACTGAACACATGACGAGAACAAGTAGCAGATACCGCGTATTGTTATCGAAATAACACATTGAGAACAGCAATCGCAATGCGAATTCCACGAGGCTATCTATCGACTACGGGGAACAATCTCGCCGTTGCGGCCATTTCGGCCATTCAGTATGCCGTTTCGGCCATTCTGTATGACGAAGGCTATCTACCGACTACGGGGAGCAATCGCGCCGTTGCGGCCATTCAACACGCTAATTGGTGATCCGAAGGTCAGCTGCTGCGCCGTCTCAGCAAACACCGAAATGTATGTCATTCGCACGAACCCAGAGTTCCCAACGAGAGAAGCGCCTATGGCATCCCGAATAGAAACGACTTTAGCCTCGACCTCTCGCCATGCGACAACGTCCTCCACCTGGCCACCCACCACGATATCCAGTCTCCCATCTACCCTTCTTTGAACTAAACACATATCCCTCCCGGACATAGACAACTCGTTCCTGGACACATACACGACAGCATCGGTCAAGTTTCTTGCCCTGCTCGAAACGCCAGTACAGAGGACCCTACAAAAGATAAAGTATGCCAGACGCAATCTCACACAACAATACGAAACTACTCCTGGCGACAGACCGGGAGATCGCAACGGATAATGATCGAGGAACTGAGAATGTCACGCATAATCGAGTAACTCCTGTTTCATAACACGGCACCAGGTGCAAGGCGAGGTTGTCACGTATTCGCAGTCGAAACCCCCCAAAACACGGCTTATTTTTAGTTTTTTACACAGTAGCGGCAAGCGCACGGGACGCAGCACATCGAACGACACGGGAATGCGTTTGCCGAATTCGGACATATTCACGAACTCATAATCGCACGCCCACGGGCATCTCTCCGTCATGTTCACCCACTCGCACTCCTCCCACGAGTCCAAATGTTTGTCGCCAAACGGGAGGATTCTCATCCAAGGGTCGCATGTAAGTCTTCTGGACAAGCGCCTTCATAGGTTACGCTGCCTGGACATTGTCGGACGTACAGCGCGCAAGGTGGGAAAGGGTGTGCCTTGCGTGCACGCAAAAGTGTTGGGGTCATATTAGAGATCTCCATAGCAACAGTGAAGAGAAGACTCCCTGCACGGCACAAGGGCAACGGTCAACAGCAGCAATAGAACAACCAACAGTAGCATAGAACTATTCACCCCGCTCCCCCCAACAATGGAAACAAACCAGGCCGCACGACAGCACAATGCACAAAATCTTTGTGCGCAGACGAACGTGTTCGACTCGACGATCGTGTTCGACTCGACGATCGTTTTCGACTCGACGACCGTGTCCGACTCGACGATCCTGTCCAGCACAATGCGCAGAATCTTTGTGCGCAGACGAACGTGTTCGACTCGACGATCGTTTTCGACTCGACGACCGTGTCCGACTCGACGATCCTATCCGACTTGACGAACGCAATCGACGATCGGTTTCGACTCGACGATCGTGTTCGACTCGACGATCGTGTTCGACTCGACGATCGTTGTTCGATTCGACTATCGTGTTCGACTCCTTGATAGTGTTCGACTCGACGATCTGTCACTGTCGTGTTCGACTCGACGATCGGTCGCTGTCGTGTTCGACTCGACGATTGGGCAGTGCCGTGTTCAACTTAACTATCGTGTTCGACTCGACAATCAGGCACTGTCATGTTCGACTAGACTATCGTGTTCGACTCGACGGTTGGCAGTGTTGTGTTCGACTCGACTATCGTGTTCGACTCGACGACGCTGCCCATGACTCGACTATCGTGTTCGTCTCCACGATCGTGTTCGACTCGACTGTCGTGTTCGACTCGACGATGGGGCAGTGTCGTGTTCGACTAAACGATCGTGTTCGACTCAACGATCGGGCAGTGTCGTGTTCGACTCGACGAGCGTGTTCGACTCGACAATCAGACATCCGACGCGATCGTGTTCGACCCGACAATCAGACATCCGGCGCGATCGTGTTCGACTCGACGATCGGGCGCGATCGGGCACGATCGTGTTGGACTCGACGGCGGGCACTGTCGTGTTCGACTCGACGATCGGGCACTGTCGTGTTCGACTCGACGACCGGGCACTGTCGTGTTCGACACGACGATCGGAAACGATCGTGTTGGACTCGATTGTCGGGCACTGTCGTGTTCGACTCGACGATCGGGCACGATCGTGTTCGACACGACGATCGGACACGATCGTGTTGGACTCGACGATCGAGCGCGATCGTGTTCGACTCGACGATGGGGCACCATCGTGTTTGACTCGACGACCGGAAGTGCCACGTGGCGTTACGTGGTTGAATCTGGGCTGCGTGGTTGTGTCCTCACCGTCCGATCCTTCAAACTCGGGGTGCTCCGCTGTGGTTGTGCGTTGCGATCTTGGGCCGTATGCTCGCTACGTCGCCTCGCTGAACAGGCCTCTCGACAGCGCTGTGGTCCGCCGTCACGTCGAGCAGGTGGTCGGCTATGCACGGACCGAATCCCTGCGCTCCGTTGCCGCGCTGTACACGAGCCTCCACTGCGCTGCACTGTGGCATGAGCCTCCGCTGCGCTGCATCGACGAACCTCCGCTGCGCTGCTCTACTACTGCGTTCCGCACGCGCCTGCTGGCCGTCTGATCCGGGAATACGGACGGTCGGGACGATCCAATGACTGCAGTCGGGGATGACGTTCAGCTGCGGAGCAGAAATGAGATTTACGCACATGAGTACCCGCGACATTGTATCATCGTTCACGCTCTGGGAGAATAAGCGCAGTCGTCCGCCAACGCCGACACGACAACTGCCCCGCCATCCTGGTTAGTGCCGCTTCGGCCAACACGGCCCCCCCCGCCCCCCCACACCCCGCGAGAGAAAGAGAAAAGCCTCCGTGTCCAGTGCTGGTTTATCGGTGACGTCAAAAAGTTTTCTCGAATACTTTCACCGCAGTCGTCGTCGTGTCGAACACGATGGTCGACACGGTCGTCGTCGTGTCGAACACGATGGTCGTCGTGTTGAACACGATCATTGTCGTGTTCCACACACTGGTCGTCGTGTCAAACACGATGGTCGTCGTGTTGAACACGGTCGTTGTCGTGTCGCACACGTTGTTCGTCGTGTCAAACACGATCGTCGTACACGATGGTCATCGTGTTGAACACGATCGTTGTCGTGTCCGACACGCTGGTCGTCGTGTCAAACACGATGGTTGTCGTGTTGAACACGATCGTTGTCGTGTCCGACATGCTGGTCGTTGTGTCAAACACGATGGTCGTCGTGTTGAACACGCTGGGCGTCGTGTCAAACACGATCGTCGCCGTGTCCGACACTGTCATCGTCGTGTCGAACATGATGGTCAGCGTGTCGAGCACGATTTTTGTCGTGTCGAACACGATCGTCGTCGCGTCGAACACGATCGCCATCGTGTCGAACACGGCCGTCGTCGTGTCGAACACGCTCGTCATCGTGTCCGGCTCATTGTCGTGCACAGCCGTCGTCATGACCGACGTCCTGTCGAACACGACTGCCATTGTATCGAGCACGGCCGTCTTCTTGTCCGACACGATCGTCGACGATGGTTATCGTGTCTGGCACGATGGTCGTCGGGTCTGACACGGTGGCCTTCATGATGAGCACAGTGGTCGTCGTGTCCGCCACGGTCAAATGCGGTCTTGGTCGTGTTGAACGCCATCACGGTCGTGTCGAACACCCTGCTCTTTTTCGCCACGACCCCCACCTTGTAATATACAATGGAGCTCCTGACGTGTTGGGCACGACATTGGCGTTGCCGTAGTCGTTTGCCTTCTCAGCCTGGCTATCTGGAAACCCGCCGTGCACCGTAGAACGAATTCTGCGCGAAATTTGCTTCGAATCCTCGGAGTCTGGTACCCGGGAATCAAGACGGTCGCGTTGCCACGATGGTTTTCCTGCTCACTCGTGGCAGTTTTCCTGCCCGCTCTGCGTGGGTGGTGAGTACCACGCGTGCCGGGAATCGAGACGGGGGACCCTTCCGTGTTGG